ACTAAATACATGCTTTGTAATTTATATTCTTTTATTTAAAAAAAACCTTGTGTTTTCTTACTTTCTAATTATTGGATCCATCAAAATGCACAAACATCTTAGTTCATAATTCACGGATAATAAATTTAAATTTAATGGGTCTATTTTTCATAAGCTCAGAAATCTATTTGGGTTTTGACCTTTGAAAAAAACCTAACTTTTATGAGATCTGTTTTAACAAAAAATATAGCCCTCACGAGCTTAGTCCTGAGGGAGAGCGTAATGCTATTGACTTAATATAAGAGATAAATCTAGCTCTCACGGGCTAACTTAAAAAAAAACTCAACTATCGTGAATTCAGTTATATTTTGGATCTTATGTTTTATATACCTTTAGACATATAAAAGTATTCCATGAGTCTCTTATATTTTTATCAATATTAATATTCTGTAATGAATATATCAATATTAATATTATATAATAAATAATATATAAAAAATATTTTAAGGACCCCTATATTTCCTTCACATTAATATTTATATAAGTGATATTCATCACTTATTAATACAATAAAAGCAAAATTATAATTTAACCCCTTATCTCTATAAAATATGATACTTTATAAATTCTTCAGGTTCCAGGTTTGCAATATTTATTTTTTATTGTAAATATATTTTTATAGTATCTTTTTAAAATATTATTGTATTTTTTTATAAAAAAATACTTATTTAAATATTGAAAAATCTCAAAATTCATCAAGAAAATTTAAACATTGAAAAATCTCAAAATTCATCAAGAAAACCTTTTGTAGGTATTAATCATTTATTATCTTAACTTACCATATATCAAATATCAGATCTTAGTCATTCTAGCTAAAAAAATAGATTAAGTTGCTATAACTGAAAAATCAATTTTTTATACAACACAACTTATTCTTGAACTATTTATATTTTTTGAAACATCATTAACGAACAAGAAATTTTAGAACCAAGTTAAGCATGTTGCATCAACCGATAATTTGTAGAGGTAAGCATATCCTAACCAGAAATGCGTTGGATTTTTCAAAATGCACAAGTAATTGGATCCCAATTTGAGGAATGCCTAGTGTCGTGTGGCGAGAGCCGAGGAGGAAAGTAGCATAATCGATGACGCATATAAGCCTGTTCTGCCCTTCTTGCCAAACGTGTCCTGGAAGGATGTGATGGGCCTCCAAGACTTGGCCACGTTAATTCTACAGGAGGCTCATTAGTGATTACCGTACCTATCATCTCTGTTGGTGGGCCCCCGTATTCAAAGTGGTGAGATCCACCATCGCTGAGTGCTCCCTTTACTCTACTTCTCTTTAAATTAAATTAATTGTATTCATTAAAAAATTGTACGAAATAATCGATTGCCCTGGCGCCTCTACATGAATTATCGTCCATCTTCAAAAACGATCCCCACCATTAAAAGGCCCACCTTTTGTTTTTCCGGTTCCGGAGCTTTCAGCTGCCGTCATTTCCGACCAATAACTTTTCTTCTTCTTTTTTTATTAATTACAATTCTATTTCAAAATACATAAACTCCTGAATTTACAATTTGTTTATATCATTTTGTATTTTATATAAAATATTAAAAGAAGAATTTTTTTTTAACTAAATTGATATTTTTTTCCCATATTCATTAAAAAGATATTGTTATTGAGAACTAATTTAATGAAAACGACGTGCTTAATATATATATACACGCACACACCTGCACGCACTTATATGAGACAAGATATATAGTATAAAATATAAAAGAATCTCGTTTACCTTTGCATTGACTTGCGTTTTGTATATAACATATTTGATACAATAGATAATATATACACATATATATCTTGTTTATAGAAATAAATATCCTGCAAGTCAATGCAAAGGTAAACGAGATTCTTTTATATTTTATACTATATATCTTGTCTGTAGAAATAAATATCTTGTCTCATATATATATATATATATATATATAATTAAAAATAATTGGTTTTTTAAATTAATCTAGTTTAGCTCTGGTAAAAATTACTCTCTCTCTCTCATTTTTCCACAAACTTTAACAATGAGAAATTTAACACAATTTGTGCGCACTTGTGTTATATTCCAAACCAATTATATGAATTTGTGCGCACTTTTGTTATATTCCAAACCAATTATATGGAACCATCTAGGTGGTGGTCAAGTGGTGAAGACTTGAGACTAAGAGATTTGCTTCTTCTGTGGTCTTAGGTTCAAATCCTTGGTTGCTCATATGATGGCCACTGGAGGCTTACATGTTCGTTAACTTCAGGGCCCATGAGATTAGTCGTGGTGCACGCAAACTAGCCCAAACACCCGCGTTAATCTAAAAAAAAAAATCACATTATATGTTGTCAAGAACCCACCTCCGAAATAATACGAGTTGAGAAGCAGTTTTCTCGGCTCAGGTTCAAATGCAGGACCACTTTTTTTTTAGGATTCAAGATAGATGCGGATGTTGCACCGCATTACATTATATATATGAGATTATGCACCATCCACGTTGAAATCAACTATGAGATCGCCCGCTTTCCTCGTCGTTTCAAGTCCCCGATCCTCCTCAGCAGTGGAATCTGCCTGCTTCGCATATATATATATATATATATATATATATATAGTCTCATCCTTTCTATACGGTTTTGACAAACATTTTCTATAGTAGATTTCTTGTTAATCTATAATGCATTTAAGTTATAGATATGCTGTACGATTTTCAGGGCTAGGGCCCTTTACGGTTTCGGCAGCCCATTAATAGATAATTAATAATAATCGGGGTTATAATTTGATTAATTAGCGGCTATATATATATGACGTGGAGTCTTTAGCATTATAGTTTGTGGAAATTAACCATGCTGTTAATGATCTAGATGAATGTGAGGATCGATTGCATGCATGGCTATTTGATTTAAGATGGTGCCATCTCCCATTGTTGAACAGAAACTTTGCCGAATGTTTTGCAACTTCCAGTCGAGAGATGAATAAATATTTACAAAAAATAAAAATATAAAATATTAGGCAAACAGAATAGAAAAATAACATTACATTTAATCAAACGAATTTAATTAATATCTAGTGAGAATGAGCGACTTTTTTTCGAACGTGGCAGAGCTGGCTGTAACTTGTATGGCTCCATGTTGGATTCTAGCCATGGTACTATACCGACTGCACAAATTTGAAAATAGGAAGCGCTAGACTTGCGGCGCCTTCCACCGGCCTGCAGCATCACCGCCTAAGGTGTGGATCGAAATTCCTGTGAGCACCCACCTTTCAGAATCAATGTGACAGCTGATCAATCCGAGAGAAAATTAAAAGATAAAACGGACCATATGTATATGTTTCACACGGCACGCACCTGAGTGCAAAGACAATATAGATAATTTGTATAGCTTTGCAATTTGCTGGCAAATTTATGAGCTGTAGTCTCCGAGTTCCATTTCCCACGATTCAAATTTCAAACTGTAGTGATCATATGCAATTTCTGCTAACTTGTGTGAAAAGCATGAACCGATTTTAATTTTGACCAAGACTGTTTCAAAAAGTCGTGTTCCCGAGCTAAGTGAATTTCGCTGCGTCGCGTGAATGACTTGCTAATTAATTAGGTGAATTTTACTATGCTCATCATCCCTCGTCGAGCCATGTGCTGTCCAACCTACAACACTGCTTCACACACAAATTGCCACCGCATTTCCTTGAAAACATGCATGAACCATGCATTTATATCTTCTCTGCGGGTTTTTTTTTGCAATGCATGCAAGCTTGGATATTTAATTTATCAGAAAAAAATGACAAGGAAGAGCAGACAGTTGATGGCAGTATAGTTTTTAGCGGTCTAGTCCAATGCGAGCCATATGCATGACAATCCAACATCGAAATCAAATGATTTAAGAGTACTGGACCATTGCATGACCTTACCTAACATCAACAAAAAGTTCAAGAAAATCCCATGTTCTTCTTTTCATTTGTATGGATTCAAACAAATTGAATCACGCAGTTTGAAACCTGCCCAATTCACATTGTGCATGGCCGGCACCTAACAGATAATGCATGTTACCCTTAGCAGATGGGCTGTCAAAGGAACATCCGAAACTGGCACGGTGTTTTTCTGTAAAGAATTGCATAATCACATTCTTGGTGAAATACTGTTGAGCTCTCACCAACTCGTTAGGCCTAGATTGAGACAAATCCTGTTGGATTTCTTTTACCGAAGAGGGGTCCCATGCGCCAACAAATGTAAACCCTAATATATTAATATACCAGTCAAGAAGATCTCTATCCTCTTATGTTACTATCATCAACAAGCTGTGATCTCAAAGAAAAAAATCTAGTTGGAAACCAATAAAAACCAATGGCCGTGATGATCATATCATATTAAGGAAATGACCATCATAAGCCACTAGCTATTGTAGTTGAAATTTACTTTTTAAGTTTTGACCACTTACGATTTTAAATTAGTTAATGGAAGTCAATGATCAGATGGTATGGTTCATCTAACTTGAGATTGGTCCGTCAGCATTAAAATAGATTGAAAATCGAAACCCAATCCCTATCTCCTGGCCGTTGACAAACTTAAGGACCGCTAAGGGACTCCCTCGAAAAGTACACCTTTTCAATGCTAGGTGTAAATCGGTGAGAGAGAGAGACCGAATTTTCAACAAAAATCCAGAATTTACAAAGGCGTTCACCAAAAAGCCAACCCGAAAAAAAAAAAGGAAAAAAAAAACGCCAACCTGCTACTATTTGCTAGCCACAGAAGCAAATATTACCTGGTAGACGCATACCGAGAGCGCTTTCAGAGAAAATTAATAGAATTTATAAATAAAAAAGGGACTGAAGAGGAGACCAAGAGGGGGAAGAAAGCCCTTATGAAGATAGAAGTAATTACTATTGCAATTAATGCCAGCGCTGTGGCTAACCAAAACAAAAAGGCTGTGGTCAACCTCTCACTTACACATTTCCCTTTAATGACTCCCAACTATAAATACTCTCTGCATTCCTTCCTCTTCTTCACAAGCCTCTTTCCCTTATTTACTGAGCCTCCCTTTCAATCTCTAGCATCTCTCTGTAGCTACAGCACCCAGCTGCCTTTTCTCAGGTAGTTAACACAATAACATAGTACCCTAAAAAACCATATTATACCATTTACATTAAAGAAAACCACTATCATGGTCTTCCAAATGGTGCTTCTCAAGCTTGCAGACTGGATCCTGTACCAGCTCCTGGCTAACTCATGTTACAGGGCTGCTAGGAAGATGAGGAGTTACGGGTTCTTTTTGAAAAACCAATCTCTAAAATCATCACAGCAACAAGCTCCTTCGTTCTCTAATGTGTTCAAGTGTGGTTTGGAAAACAGGGGCTCTGATATTTTGGTGTGTGACATTCATGGGGGCTTATTAAGAACAGAATCTTTGTTTCCTTATTTCATGCTAGTTGCTTTCGAAGGAGGTAGCATACTTAGAGCATTTTTGTTGCTGTTATCATGTCCTATTTTGTGGGTTTTAGACTATGAGCTTAAGTTGAGGGCCATGATATTTATCACCTTTTGTGGGCTTAGGTTGAAGGATATGGAGAATGTTAGTAGAGCTGTTTTACCTAAGTTTTATCTTGAGAATCTTCATCTCAAGGCTTTTGAGGTGTTAGCTTCAACTGGGTCCAGGTTTGCTTTTACGAGTGTCCCTAGAGTCATGGTCGAAGGATTTCTCAAGGAATATTTGCTGTTTGACAATGTGACAGGGACTGAATTGCACACTATTGGGCACTACTTTACCGGTTTGGTGTCTGATTCTGGTTTAGTTTTGAAACACAGAGCCCTAAAGGATTACTTCGGAGACAAGAAGCCTGACATAGGCCTTGGAAGTTCAAGCCTCCATGACCACCTTTTCATATCGCTTTGCAAGGTATTCACAATATTTCCCCTATAAGTCATCTCATAAAGAAATATCTTATGAACATTATAAGAACATGAAATCCTTTTCGGGGATTTTATAATGATTTTTTTTCCTAGAACGTGTTTATATTTTTGGTAGTCCTTGACCTAACTATTTAATATGGGTCCCTACCTTTTAAGAAATCGGATGGTTGCCATACTTCATTTTAGACAATCTTGAGCTTAATTACATAGTTTAAGGCGCTTTCTTTAAGAATTCATATTGTTACTATACTTAAAATGTTTTCCATGCCACTGTAAGAATGGCATTTCAAGACAAATGTCTTGGAATTTCTCCAAAAACATTAGATAGCCACAAGCATCTTAAATAAACATTGCAAGTATATCTATATTTATTGATAACAAAGTAGACACACGCACTTCAATTTCCTGCCTTTGGGTATGTTTCCTTTCTCAGCACATTTTAACGTGTCGATTTCTATTTGTAGGAGAAGACCCAATACTACCATATAGATTTCAGTCACAAATTTATGGTCCTTTATTGATGTTTGTTTATGATTTTGTTGTGTGGATGTGATAGGAAGCTTACGTGGTGAGCAGGGAAGATGGCAAGAGCGGTACAAGTTCGGTAATGCCAAGGGACAAGTACCCTAAACCTCTTGTATTTCATGACGGAAGGCTAGCTTTCTTGCCCACTCCGTTGGCTACTCTTTCAATGTTTATGTGGCTCCCAATAGGAGTATTTCTCGCCTTCTTTAGACTCTTTGTAGGCATTCACCTTCCTTATAAATTAGCATTATGTTTGGGCATTTGGAGTGGTGTGGACCTAAGAGTCAAAGGGTGCAGCCCTTCAAGGTCAGGTCACAGAAAAGGGATACTCTATGTTTGCACCCATCGAACACTATTGGACCCGGTTTTTCTCAGCACATCTTTAGGTCAGCCACTGACTGCTGTCACGTACAGCTTGAGCAGGATGTCAGAATTAATTGCCCCTATTAAAACGGTGAGGTTGACAAGGGAGAGAAAACAAGATGGTAGGACAATGCAAAGATTGCTAAGTGAAGGTGACTTAGTGGTATGCCCTGAAGGAACCACATGTAGAGAGCCATATTTGTTGAGGTTTAGTTCTCTGTTTGCCGAGCTAGCTAATGAGATAGTCCCTGTGGCCATGAACACTCGTGTAAGCATGTTCTATGGAACAACTGCAAGTGGGCTAAAATGCTTGGATCCCATTTTCTTTTTGATGAACCCTAGACCCAGCTACCACATTCAGATTCTTGAGAAGTTGCCTAGAGAGCTCACATGTGCTGGGGGGAGATCAAGTTGTGAAGTTGCAAACTACATACAAAGAAAATTGGCTGATACTTTAGGATTTGAGTGCACTACTCTTACAAGGAAGGACAAGTACATGATGCTCGCAGGAAATGAAGGAATTGTCCAGGATAATAGAGAGAAATCCCAGTAAATTGGCAAATAATCATGTATCTAATTAGACTTTCCAATTTCTTTTTAATTACTAAAACCTTCTTCCAGGGCATGGATATTTTTGTTGTGTTACTGTTAAGTTGATTATTTTTGCTTATGCAGAACAATATATATAAAAAAATGCTGTCTTGAACATGTGAAGATATGATATGAAGTCATTTCTCTACTGATTAATGAACATCCAGCATTATTAGTAGACATCAACATAAATGCAGTTTTAGATGCATGCAAATGCAGTAGTGATATTCCAGCCCATCTACAAATCTGACCCAAATTTTGGCGTTTTGTCGAACTATAGAGGCCTAGCAGAGAATAAAAAAGCAGACAGGGGCGCACACAGTTCAAAAAAAATGTTAAAGGAGTGTGTTCCAGAAACGAGTAGTAATGTTGCACATAATGGCCCTCTGAAAATAAAAATATTGACACTCCACCCCTCATGATCAGCCAACTTCTTCAATCCATGTCTTTTATCTCTGTATATAATTTTTCTTCCAAGGACTGAAACATTTACTGTTCCAAGTGGGGCGTGTTATATTCAGCGATACGCATATGTGTAAGTTAAATTAACCCTAGATGGTCGATCAAGTAGGGTAGTCCATCAAGCTTTTTATTTTAAATTTGCAATTTGTAATGAAAGAAGATATTTACTGTACTCCTATAGTAATTGCAGACTTATGAAGTATGGCAGAGACAGGAGGCAACGGTGGTTTTATCTTCGGAGCACATGCATGCGAGTTAATGATCCTTTCCCATACTATAGTGTAATGCTTGATGGGCTTGTAAGTGAGGTTGTTAAATTTTTGTTTTTTAATATGATGTGAAATAATATAAATTTGGATTGTAAATTCAAATTATAAAATTATAAAATTATGAATTATTAAGTAATTTTTTTAATTAATTATATATTTAAATTATAAAGTAATTTTTTAAATTAATTATATATTAATAATTCTAGCTAAGAAATTAAATTACATTTAAATATGATAAAACGAGTTAACAATATTATAATCAATGAGTGATCTAAATAAAATGAGAAAGATAAATAATTTGAATTAATAAATTAATTACATGAAAAAATAAAAGTTTCAAAACAAGATTTCTCAATACAAGAGAATCGATAAAAGGTAAAAAGCACACATAAACTTAGTGACAACCTAGTTAATTGAATTTGAAAAGGAATATCATATCTAAGAAACTTGGGTCTCGCAAAAGCACACATAAACTTAGTGACAACCTAATTATTCTCATCCTAATAAGTCCTTATAAACTTCTTTTGGGTTGCAAGCTAATGAGTTTAAATTACTAATTAATTAACATAAATTCAATAACGAAATAAATCCCTAAACAATGTTTAATATGTTAGAAAAAATTCAAATTAAAAATAATTAATTAAAATTAATTAAATAAATAAAATAAAATAATAATAAAAATTCTTCATGTTAAAATTCCTCTATGTAGCTCAAATCTTCAATTTTTATATATTCTTGACAGATTTGAGTCTTGATTTTAAATATGTCATTCTCTTCTAATTTCAAACATATCATTCTCTCTTGATTTCAATTATGATGTTATCTCTCATTTGGATGAATTATCGGACCTCCAATATATAGTTGAAAAATTTCAGATATGTAGTTTCTATCCTAATTTTAATCGAAACAAAATTCTATTGGTAGCTCTAGATATGTCTTAAATAGTACACGAATGTCTTGTTTGATATATCTGACAATATTAGTTTACTAACTTTGACCCTTTGAAATATTATGTTTCCAAACTCCATTTGACCTAAAAATTTACTACAATATATTTTCATATTTAATATTTTCATGTAAAATTTTAGCTTTATCTAATATACAGTTTGAAAGATATGTTCAATTTCGCAAAACTAGTAAAATCGTAAAATCAAATTAAGTTTATCGAGTTTACTGATTTTATCAATTTTGCACAAGTTAAGTTAGATTTTATTGGTTTTGAGTTTCTAGTCCGATTTAGCATATTAGATACATGTGTTGACTCATAAAGTCATAAAATTTTAATAATTAATTCATGATTTTAACAACAATGCTTGCAAGCCATTTAGATTCGAATCCTCAACACTTGTAATGGATGATGGGGTACTAAATGCAAGTGATATATCTGCATGCATGAAGAAATAGTGTTGATGTTGTTGGATCCATATTATAATTATTATAAATAAAGTAAATGGTGTTGAAGGTTTTTACTATTTATTTTTTAATTGTTCCTCAAGATATAAATTATTATAAATTGAAGTAGTGTAATAATATAATTGTTTTTGTTAAAGAAACTTGCTAAACATATAATTGAGAGTGAGATTATCTTTTTCATAGGACATGTTTTACACTAAAAGAATAATTGAGGATAGTATGCCCGTTCGGGTTTTTTAGAGTTTGACATTAGGGAATGATATGGTTGCCAGACACCTAATACTGAAATTGGACATGGCTACCAGACACCAAATATTAGGATAAGACATATTTGCTAGACCCTAAATGTGTAGGTCTGGCAAAGCAATCACACCTCAACGCCTTGGTGCCAGACCCAAGTTAATTGAATTTGAAAAGGAATGTCATATCTAAGAAACTTGGGTCTCGCAAAAGCGCCAGACGCAAATTAACAATCATTAGTATTAATAATTAGCAATATTAATTATTGTGATTACTATTATTATTATTATTAAATTTGAAAAAATAATATTACTATTGAATAAAAACTATAAATTTGATTTGAAGGGATTAAAAACTATAAGAACTTAAGTCAGTAAAATTTAATATTATTATTAATATTAAAATTTTTATGATTTATATTGTAAATATTATTGTTAATAATTTTTTTAAAAATATTATTACTATTGAAAAACAACCATAGATTTAATTTGAAGAGTAAAATTATTATTGATGCTGCTGTTATTGGTATTGTTATTCTTTTCATTATTGTGAATATTATTTATATAATTATTAATAATTTTTTTAAAATATTATTACCATTAAAAAAAATAGTAATAAAGCCAAACCTGAGTTTGACATAACCACACCTCAGGAACTAGGGTCTAGCATGACTAGGTCCAAATAACTTCGATCTGGTAAGGAATACAAGTTCAAATAACATGAGTTTGACATGGCTATAAATACTCTTATTATTATTAATACATTTAAAATAAAAATAATATTGACCCAACTCCAACCAAACTTAAGTCAGTAAAATTTAATATTATTATTAATATTAAAATTTTTATGATTTATATTGTAAATATTATTGTTAATAATTTTTTTAAAAATATTATTACTATTGAAAAACAACCATAGATTTAATTTGAAGAGTAAAATTATTATTGATGCTGCTGTTATTGGTATTGTTATTCTTTTCATTATTGTGAATATTATTTATATAATTATTAATAATTTTTTTTTAAAATATTATTACCATTAAAAAAATAGTAATAAGGCCAAACCTGAGTTTGACATAACCACACCTCAGGAACTAGGGTCTAGCATGACTAGGTCCAAATAACTTCGGTTTGGTAAGGAATACAAGTCCAAGTAACATGAGTTTGACATGGCTATAAGATACTCTTATTATTATTAATACATTTTAAAAAAAATAATATTGACCCAACTCCAACCAATATACTACTATACAAGATTAATTTGTGAGTGGATCAATTGTGCTTTAGGGTCACTCCTCCAGCATGCGTTTATCTTTTTTAAAATATGCAATTTATATTTTATAGTTTATTTTGGTAAACATTTCAAATCATGTTTTTTTAATTTTTTTTTTGTGTTTAAAATTATAACCTAGTAGAAATTATCTTTTTGAATATAGATAGAATCGAGTTTAAGTGATTTTGTATAATCTGGTAGGTTTCTTCTGTTTGAAAAAAAAAGAAGAAAAACCCACCAACCCACATGTGACAAGTGAACGCATAAAATTTAAAATGATCTAGGAAACTCCAATCTACAACGGGAACGCATTTTGAGAACAATAATGGCTAATTTCTTAAAACTCTAGTACACCATCTTCCATAAAATCTTAATGTTAAACATGAAAATATCCTATTAGTGATTATTTTTACTACCTATAAAAGTTAGCTCTTTTTTGCTCGCAAAAATTTGCATGGTGAGTAAAACAAGTCTCATAAAATTTATTATTCGTACATATTTTGAATTAGCAACTCAATCCTGATTTAGTCCTTAAATTTGGTTGGCACATAGAATTTAGAAAGGTTTCTTACATGCACTTCCTTTTCCATTTTAGATAGAGTTTCTTTCCCCCTCATGAAAAAAAATAAAAATGGTTGCTTAGTTTTCTTTCGGTGTAGATTTAGATTTGGGTCCATTAGCCCTTTCAAACTTCACTGAAAAGTTAGGAAGCCTATTCATTTTGGGGACACAATGAATCGACCATGGCCCAACCTGCCCCAGTCCACAAATTACACATCTGTGTGTTCTTTTTCCTCATTATTCACCCTTCGTTTTACTAACATACATATCTTTGAAAAATCATTTTTGTATCCTATAAATTATTAACAGACCACATGAGCTTACAAACCAGCAAGAGAACATGATTTGTGGGAATAAATGGAGTGATAAGGCAAGCTCAACCTATCGGAGGAATAAGGATTGTTATTCCCACAAATCTGTCTATGGGGAGATGTTGGGGGATGAAGAAGTTTCAGGAGCAACGAATTCCGTTCAAGATTGTTTTTCAACAAGATAAGGAAACTGCAATGAGAAATGCTGGATTTAAACTTATATCAGATCCTTATAAACTAGCACTTTAGACAGGATATGATGTTTGCCATCATAGCTAAGATCTTTCCAGATACACTTCATTTGATACCATGTTTATCTATTATCTATGACTTTAGACAAGATATGATGTTTATATATTAGATTGTAAGTCATGCGGTTAACTTTATAAGTTATAATAATAATAATAATAATAATAATAATAATAATAATAATAATAAACAGTATTCTACCTAACTTCCTCTGCTTCTATTTTTCTTTCTTAGTTCCTGTCTTTCTTCCATTATTGTACCAGAAAAACAGTCGATCATGTCGAGAAATTTAATTATGAGTCTGATCACCTGTGAACATTATGCTAATGACCTTCAAAATTTCCCTCTAGCTTGACCATTAGTGGCTGCGTGGATGATAATTGATCGGACAGTGTTGAAAAATATTAAAAACAATGGTTAGTGATTTATTTTATTGCCATCAAAATGGAAAAAAAGAAGAAAGAAAGAAAGAGAATAACGAATAACAGAAGATATTGACACACAAGCTTCATGTAATAATTATTTGCATAAAACCAATCAAATAACTAATCCTTATCCTCGCATCGTGCCCCACTGTCTTCAGATTGGAAATCATGCCATGTGGACAGGTCACGCCGGTTCCCCGAAGTTTTGATCACCAGCTTGACAAACCCTGTGACTTGCTCTTGTACAAATCACATAGATTCTGTTCCGATATCCCTAGCACATCCTCCACAGTCCGACCGATCCACTGATGATCATCTCTCAGAGCTTTATTTAACCGTTGGATGAATCCCTTTTCATGTCTCTTCACATTATTTCAAAAATTATGCCACAACCATAGGATCTTTATCTCCTGAGCAAAATTTACCAACTTGATCATCCAGTGACTCCTGGCCACCAAGATTTCTCGCAGGGCCAAAACCAGCCAACCCATTAATGTACTCCACCATGCCATCAAGGAGCCATCGCGGAGTTCTAGACTCGGAGTCCCCATATCCATGCACGAGCCATACCTTCTAAAACAACTGATGTAATTGCATAATCAAGGTTTTTAGGATGGCCCATTAATACTGATGGACTTATGTTGATGACAAACTCATTGTTGGTGTTGGTGTCCACCGTGACCAAGTTTGGTAGGTTGTTGCGCCAGCCTTAGAGCGACATGGTGGATCACTTGCTTCTTGGTGTCGTTGATATTCGGATAAAGAAGGTTTTCAACGAAGAGGCTAGTGTTTAGGATTTTACGGGTGGCTTTGTCCTTGGAAATGTACGAGAGGGTGAAGCGTTTGCCTCCTGCAGAGTCTTTGGCATCGTTGACTAATGTAATACCGAAGCCTTTTGATGCTTCATAGTTTGCCCAGATGGAGATAATTCCAATGGAAGTAATCAAAAGAAGCCGAAGAATGATGCTAGAATTTGAAGACCAAAGCTTGATGTAGTCAGCACCCGTTTCATCAAAGTAGTAGAAGGAGGTGGTGGTGGAGGAGGAGAAGGAGGAGGAGGAGGCAGTGGCAATAACTCTGGGGATCGGGATGGGTTGGAAGTGGGAAGGGTCTTCCATGAAAGTACGCGAACAAAAATTAGAAGCCGTGATACACGATGGAGACGTAATAATTATTAGCACAATGAAAGGCCACCAAATGCTAAGGGCCCACTTTACTGGCCGAAGCTCTAGCATGCGATCTTCATCCTTTTAGCTTAGAAGTTTGAATGTGCTGGTGGGATAACAAAATCATTTAATTTGGATTCCAACGGCGATTAATCTTGAATTTTTTTTTTTATTAACTAGCATGTTGTGAAAAGAAATTGATAAACTAATTACTCTTAAAAATAATTAAAAAAATAACATGATTGAAGTTCCTAGAGGTGTTCCTGGATATAATAGGGTATATGTTAGTTGTAATCAACTCAACTTTTCATATTTTATAAAATATAAACCTAGTTTATTTTTTATTTTTTAACTGGAACACGTTGCATATATTAGATTGAACTAATTTTTATTTTATTGAAATTCATATATATTCATAAGTTGAATATATTAATTTTTTTTTATTTTTCAACATCTTAAAAAGATACTGAATAAGACCTCTAATATATATATGAAAAAGCATAGAAGTACCACAATTTATACATAAAAATAAAAATCACTGCCAAGTATACCACTGAGTTAATGAATCCAATTTTGAAGACGGGTAAATTTCTTCAAGAACTTCCTTCTGTGACGTGAAAATGCAAAGCAAAGATGACGAGAGCCACGAGATCTGGTATCATCTATCCAAGAACTCGACCTTTTTCCCAGGAGAATTAACAGCTAGAACGCATTTTAGCGAACGAACAAAGTTAATTTTTCATTCTCATCATTAACAAAAACATAAAGAAAAAAAAATGCCAAATCTGTAACACTGCAAAACGAAGAGCAAATTCCTCTTGCTTGTTTCTACCAGCACAAAAAACCCCACCATCAAAATGCAATTTCTTTCTCTACACACCTCCCTTCATATGATCACTACTAGCAACTAATTTACAGATCAAATACAATTCGTAACCAAAAAAGTAAGGCATGAGATTATGCCCCATAGCATTCAGCGTTCCTGCACATGAGCTGCTCACTAGTCTCCTAAAAAGCATAGACTAGCTAGCAAGCAGGGCAAGCAACAGATCAGTATAGCACCATCTACAAATGTCAGAGATCGACATTTAGCCAGCAACATGATGATAAATGCAACAAATCGAGTGAGTTTATCCCCTGTAGCCCAGAGTTGATGTTAATTTAGCCAGCGACAAAATGATAAATGTCAGAGACATAAAATGTGGTTTCTCGTTAATTTTGGTAGCTACCGATGGGGCAGGATTTGAAGGCACTGCACCATAAACAGTCGCACCATTTGAGTTTGTGGTGTTCAAGACCGAAGAGCTTGTGCTGCAAAACAATTCCAAATCCAGATGAAACGTAAAGAAAGATCAACCAGCAGAAAGCTTCTTTTTTTTTCCAGGTGAGAAGGAGACAAAAAGTAGAGGGGTTCAGAAACATTACCTAGTGGACGGAAACTGACATGTCCCAGTACCTGAAATTGTATTGAATATAAATAAGAGCTCTAGCAAAGTAAATAATAATAAAGAATAAATCTGAGCACAGCTAATCCACAAATCTGACGACTGACATGCGTCTGTAAAAGGCCGCAAAAAGTAGCTTGAGCGGCAGTAAAAAGTTCCACTTTAGCTATTTTTCAACGATCACAATAAAGCGACCCGAATCGCAATCTTTTCTAGCTAGCCTGCCCCCTCGACGTACTCCAAAATAATTCCCTCGAGATGCAGTGAGCTGGAGGTGAGCTCACATGTCATTTCTATCTTCTCAGACGCGGAGTTAGTTAACTCGGGAAACCCCAGACTCAAACCTCACTCTTTTTAATTGAATCCCACGAGACACTCACTATCAACATAACAATGTCCATCGGCAACTAATAATTTGTAGGTCAGTTGACATGTAATTTCTATTCTTCAATGCATAATTATTAAACCCAGTGATTCAAGAAATTCAGGAATCAAAGTTTGATTTCAGTCAAGTTTCTAGTTAAATCATTCAATACATTAGATCAAATTTTCAGTAATTTAATTAATTAAGCATATCCATTCAAACTCAGTCAAGTGAACATTAGGAATCTTAAAAAAAATAAAAGAATAAAATGATTTTGAAAAATAATTGATTATCCAGGGTTAAGTTAAACTTTTTTTTGGAGTTAGTGTTCATAGTTTTTTTTTTATTTCAAAATTATTTTAAAAAAAATTAAATTTTATTTTATTTTTTTCTTTGCTTGAAATTAATATTTTTTAATATTTTTAGATATTTTAATGTGTTTATATAAAAATAATTTTTAAAAAATAAAAAATATTATTTTAATATATATTTAAATAAAAAATACCTTATATATATACTACAAGCACACTACACCCTCAAGTCACTTCAAATAATAATATTATTTTGTGCAATTATGATCTATACAGAAATTTTAACAAATATGTATGGGAATGCAATTGACATCAATTATGATAAAATTAGTTTAGGGACACATTTAGACCTGATATATAGGTTGGGGAGTTATATGGTGTTGCCCCGGCAATTCAACATAGAGTGCAAGATTATATATATATATATATATATATATATATATATATATATAGTATAATCCACTTTCATTAGAGTTTTTGGCAGAACCAAAATTTCAACATGAGATTTCTTAACTGCATCCTTCTTGTTTGTGCAAAAATTCTACTAAGCTTGGATCTCATATACAGAGCACAATGTTGCTTAAATTAATATAAACTTGAACATGGAAAATTTAAAAGTATCTAGTTAAATCATTCAGTATATATATTAAAGTAGATTTTTAGTAATCTGATTGATACGAGTAAATCCATTCAAGTCAATATCAAGGATCTTAAAAAAAAAATGAATGACACTACTTTGTTTTAATAAAAATAATTAATAATTCAAGGTTAATTATTATTAATAATATCAGTTAAAAAACTATTATTAATAATCGATCAATTTAATGATGACTGATTAGATTTAGGATTAAAAAAATATTTAATTATAAGAAATTCACCTAATAAATTGAGAAATTATCCATGCTTTAAACGCTAACTAATTTAATAAAAGAACTCAATCAAATTTATAAACCGACCGCAGAGTTAAGCATTAAGGGGGGGAAAAGAAAGTAATCAGTAAACGGTTTTGGTGAATTTGGTCCGGTCCGAAACAGGCAAAAGCGTCGCTTTTCTCTGTTTTTTTTTTTTTGTTTTTTTTTCAGAAAAAGGAATAAAGAGGCCGAATCCCCCGAGACCTTTTAGACCGATACTTACAGATGAGTGGCAAAGTTAGAGGGACAAGAGTGCGACCCGAAATTTAGCATAGATCGTTCATGAAAAAAAGGAAGAAAGAGAAGGACGAGCGGAATTCAGGTGTTAAAGGGGAAAAGGTTTCAAGAAATGAACTGATTGGTCTCTTTTATTTTAAAAACTAATTATTTAGTTCCTTTTTTCGTCTATTTTCAATTTCTTTTATTTTTTTTTGTTTTAAGAAGTTGAAAAAATAGATAGATATCATGGAGAGAGATTAATAAGAAAAATATATTTCTTGAAACAAAGTAATATTAAATTAAGCATGACTAACAATAGTCAAGGGACTGGTTATCAGTTTTGGAAACTAGAGGGACTATTTAGTTCGTTCTTCAAAATTAAGAGGGACTAATTTATAACTTGATCATCAAGACGTGACATGAACAATAAATAGAGATGGCACGATAGAGGACACAACTTACTTGGATTAGTGCTAGTAGTAGCAGCAGTTCCTCCAAAATTACAGCTACTGGGCACTGGATTCTTCTGATAATAGCTGTTGAATGCATAGGAGGCATGGTCATGAACAGTGTTTGGATTATAACAACTTCCACTAGGTAGAATTGCTGAGCAATCAGCACCGCCATAGCCACAAGCATAATCCAAAGCAACTTGTAACGCTGTTGGTGATGCACTTGGGCTAGCAATACACCAGCTAGCTCCTGCAGACACAGGTGGTGTTGTTGACGTTGGGGTTACCACTGGCGTAATGGTAGCGGGCGATGTGGAATCGGGGTCTGAATTTGGGTTTATCATGGGAGTCGATGTGGTGGGAATTATTGTGGGAACAGTGGTTATTGGGGTGGTGATGTCCTTCTGGCTGCCGGAAATAAAATTCACAAGGACTACAACCTGTGTTGTTCCATGGCCTGCTCGTTTACTATTCTCATTTGCTAACCTTTTTGCAACACTTGAACCTGGATTTAAAATCATCAAGAGTACAGTTAAGCTTCCATTATGTGTGATTGGAAAGCAGGAGTCCTCAGCAAATCCTGTTCACATTATTTCAAACTTGACATCAAGGCATCGATTAGTGTGTGCATGGTTCCAAAATTCACCGACTAGGCTGAACTCTAAAGTCGTGAGTGGATAGGTAATTTACAGTGCAACATGAGTGTCCAACTAGAGTAGGCCAACATGTTTAATAATTGACAAGAAAAAAAAAAGAGAGAAGGACGAGTTTGAAATTGAACAAGAACCATGATTGAGACAAAAAAAAGTAGCTAAAGTTTGACTCCAGAGAACCAACAACAGAACAAGAACTTGAAGGAGGAGATGAGAAATCAAAGCTAAGGCTCATTCATAGAAAAAGAAAAAACCCATCTTGTTTTTGAAATGTAATCCAGGATATCCATGCGTGAGTTAACAGGAAATTAAGAAAATCAGCAATGTATTAAGAAAAGAAAAAACCAGTAATGTGAAATCGTTGCTTCCTTGGCCTGATGGAAAAGAAGTTGTGAAACAAGATTGGTTCTGCAATAGAGAAATTCCTAGCATAAGAGAGTAAACCATCACCTGATGAAGAAAGGAAGAGACCGAGTAGGCAAAACATTAGGGAGTAGATGACTCTGCCACCCATGGGCTTAAACCCCCGACCCTCTTCTTCTTCTTCTTCTTCTTCTCTTCTTTGATGTATTTATCTAATCAGCTTACCCTTTATTCAAAGGAAAGAAAGGGAAAAGAAGTAAACAAATGTTAAATTACAGAAGCATCAATGACCTTGTTGAAAAGAGAGGATTTTGCATTCTTTGTGCTGTGCAAAGAATATATATTTTGTGGAATAAGTACCCTCTTGAGGGAGGGAGGGAGGGGGTAATGTATGTGTTTGTAGAGGAAGACTTGAGAAAGGAGACGGGTGTAGAGGAGGGTTCATAAGCAAGAGATGGAACAAAAAAAGAGGGAAAAGGTGAGAAGAAGGTTGAAAAAGAAGTAAAGTGAGAGAATTGTTTTGGGATTTAGGCTTGGTGTGTGGGCTGGTAAGTGATGGTTGTAATGATGACGATGACGTCTACATTTTGCCTTTTGTTTTATTTTTATTGGTCTGTTCTTCTTCTTTTAGTGTTTCATAAATAATGAGAGCAAGGCCAACCTTCAATTATGTCCAGTAAGCTTTCTTAGCTAAGCTAGACAGGCGCTGCATGTCTTTGTGCTCAACTAGGTGCCCCCTCAGATGCTGTATAAAGAGAGAGGTAGAGAAAGATAGAGCACAGCGCGAGGTGGACTGCCCCACTGATGACCTTCCGAGGGATGAGCTTGGATCAACCGAAGGGGCATGAGTGATACTCAAGTATTCTCTCCCCTGATCTCTGCTTTTTGGTGGGTTAAAGACTTAAAAAAAGGTATTTGCTACAGTTTCTTGTTGGGTTGTTCTTGATCAAGACTGCCAACTACATAGAAAGAATGTGCTTTTCATTTCTTATTCTTCATAGCGACACGAACCTTTCAAATTTCTCACTTCAACATGTATGGAAATAGATAATGATTCCCTGTTTGTAAAGAGTGGTGCATAAGGTATACTGAAGCTAAGCAGAAAGGTCAAAGCAAGGTTCTTATTCTGCAGAGGAAAAGCATCAAGAAAAATAAAAAATCAAGCAGGACAAACCGCTGACAACTGAGTTTTATTACTAATTAATCTTGTGAAGAGCTCTAAAAGCATCCTTTTTTTCCCTAATTCTTTTGGCCTAGAGTGATCAGATCTTGCCACAGGAGCTATGTGGATCATGTGGTTGAAGTCACCGCTTCAAGGTCTGCTTTTCAAAAAACCAGTGGAGTCGCTTCTCTGTCAAGTAGTAGGGCAATGGTCTCTGCCTTTGTCCACTGGGGTTGTGGCTTTCCCCATTGCCCTGACTTAAAAGCTTCTTTCTTTCTTTCTTTCGTGCAAGCCCATTGATTCAATTGAAAGTGGCTAAAAGTCCAAAAAAACTTTTGGGAAAATACACCCCAGGAGCAAAGCTTAGAAAAAAAAAAAAAACAAAAAGAGGAGAGAAATTACAGGAAATAAGTCAAGGATGAACATGACGAGGTCCTTGTTTAAATCAGAAAGTGAGGAACAAGAAGAAGAACACTAGCTGATGGATAAGGGAAAATGCGTTGCTAATAAAAACTTAGAGGGATTTCCTTGTTCTGCCTTACCTGAGTTTAGTTTTGCGCATTCCAAATAGGGTTTGTGTCAAATTTAAATTTTTTTATTTAAAATTAATTTTTCTATATTTTTAAATTGTTTTGATATATTAATATTAAAAATAATTTTTTAAAAATAAAATAATAATATTTTAATACATTCCTAAATAAAACCTACTTTTAAAAATAATTCTCAAACACCCTTAAATCTTGTAACTATCATCAAAAGTTAAGATCTAGATCATCTACTAGCGTTTAGCATTTGATTGGCATTATTATCAAATGCCCATACTAAATCTTATATCTAAATTTGACTTTAAGAAAACTAAAAACGGGTCTTCAAGAACAAAAGGTGAGCAGTCCAGAAGTCTATCCTGAGGTTGCTCTTTTGACCAATTGGATGTCTATGCACTATATGATATTCCTAGACTCCTCTTTTTTTCCTTGTGTTTCCTAGTGCAAATAAAGTCGCTTCTTGATTGTTGCTCTCCTGCTATGTTATTTTAAGCGGCCATGTGTTCAATTTAAGCATAAAATTTTAAAAGAGCAATCATTATTGTTTGATCATAATTGCAATAGCTTTCTCGAAACTATCTTTTAAATGTGGACAAGTCGTGAACCTCGCATCCACTTACCTCTCCTAGTCACTTTAGACGTTCTCACCTATTGTTGCCTCATTTAGGAGAAGATTTTTAAAGCTATGATTGCCGTTTTAGATAATGTTTTTTTGGTGGTGGGTTGGGTGAATTCTAGTATGGTAGGATTAATTTTTTATTTAAAAATATATTAAAATAATATTTTTAAAAAATTATTTTAATATCATCAAATTAAAACAATTTAAAACAAAAAAAATTCAGTTTCTTACAAAAAAAAAATAAATTCTAACTATAAAAACAAACAAACAGTGCCTACAAAGAAAAAAATCGATATACTTGAACCTTCATTGCGATAAGGACCAGCAAGGGATGCCGCGGTACTTTCCCGCTAGACTCGTAGCTTTGGATGATGAGGGTTTCTTTTTCCATCGTTCGAAAAGATTAGGAAGTGACGTGGACAATTTTATTTTATTTTATTTTATCGATAACCTTTGTTACAGATGCTACCCAATCAAAACCAAGTATATCTCACGAAAGGTGAAAAAACTTCACCGTCTAAGATAATCGAGAAAAAGAATAAGTAAGTTTCTAATGGTAAATTATTTTTAAATAGATGTTTTAGTAAAGTTGGATTCTAATATTTTCTTTTTCGAACCCATCGAGTAATTTCATCGAACTGTAAGACATCAGTGACTAAGAAATAATTTCTGAAAGTTCAGAGACTAAAATCAAACTAGACATGATCGAGGATCATAAATTAATTTTTCTAATGGTAATTTCTGAAAGTTTAGAGACTAAAATCAAAATAGACATGATCGAGGATCATAAATTAATTTACTCGTCACCCAGGAAAAAAGAAGCCAGCGTGTAGGCCCAGTCCGTACTTCCCAATAGCCCAGTCCAAGAGATAAGTGGGTAAGGAAAACCCAGGATATCAGTGGGTCTCAGTCCCAGACTCACATCGAGTCAAGCCCACGGCTTTTAATTTAGAATTTAGATGTGATGTTTTTATTTACAAATATATTAACATAATTTATTTTTTAATAATTATTTATTTTTAAAAATTTAATTTTGATATTTGAAATAATTTTAAAATATATAAAAAATTCAAAATTTTCTTTGAATGCAACAAATGTTGCTCACCAGTAGTTTTGTGCTTCTACCTTACTTTCCTCATTTGTTTACCGATGATCACTGTTTTCTGCCAAATACAGGTAGTGGAATTAAAAAAAAAGAGGAAAAAGGTTTCTGTGTATCACATGAAGTTGCATATGCATAACTGTAATTACTTAACATGCTTATATATTGAAATTGAAAATAGTAATATAATCTATTGAAATTAAAGGTCCATTTCTATTGTTATGCTATGCATTCAGAATCACTTAGCTGAAGAGAAGGAAATAAAGCGATTACTTGTGCAGAGTACCGTGATGAGGGTAGGGGTACCAGGAGGAGGAAGTTTGAGAGAATCAAACATGAGCCGTAGTAGTAGATAGAGCATCAATAGCAGCAGCACCTCTTGCACTGCTACTACCTCTCTTCCTCTTCCTTTTGCCTCCTCCTCCTGCTACAACTTGGAGATCTGATTTAGCGTTAAGTGATTGGATGGAAGTGACGCGGCACTCCTGCCAGTTGAGCGTCTTCATGTCCGCCACGATGTCCTTCATGTTCATCAATGTGCATGACGATATTTCGTTTTTCTCTTTCACTGTGGAGCGTGACAGATTCTCCAGATCTATTTTATCCACCGCATCTATCAACACCTTCTGCTCGTGGATTTATGACAGAAAGCATAGCTTAATTTAAGCACAGAAATTAAAAATCAGATATCAATTAGTGTGTTGGATTTGAACCTGAGAGACTTTAACGATTTTCTTGAAGCCGTGCATGCGAATAATCTGCAAAAATAGAACGAACATTAACATACAAGAAATTCAAAACCAAGATCAATCAATGCAGAAAATGAGAGAGAGATTACCTGATTGAGGAAATTGGGGGAGAGACCGAATTGCTTGTGAGATAGGAAAAAATGGAGATAATCTTCGAGAGAAATCTTGCTCATTTTTCTTCTTTCTTTGCTGCTGCACTCTCTCTATCTATCGATTTTAATTTCTCAGATTTTAGTAAGCCTTCTAATCTAATTTTAGAAATTTATACTGTTTGGCAAATGGCAGGCTAGATTCCAGATGGTTCAAGGAGATTGTCCCTGGGGGTGCTGGCTCGGGAGCCAGCACGTAATGCCTGTTGGTTTAATAAAACATTTTAACTAAAATTTTAAATAAATTGTTTTAATTTAAAATTTAATATTATCATATTTTTAATTTTATTAAATACAATAGGAATTAAAAAAAAAGAGGAAAAAGGTTTCTGTGTATCACATGAAGTTGCATATGCATAACTGTAATTACTTAACATGCTTATATATTGAAATTGAAAATAGTAATATAATCTATTGAAATTAAAGGTCCATTTCTATTGTTATGCTATGCATTCAGAATCACTTAGCTGAAGAGAAGGAAATAAAGCGATTACTTGTGCAGAGTACCGTGATGAGGGTAGGGGTACCAGGAGGAGGAAGTTTGAGAGAATCAAACATGAGCCGTAGTAGTAGATAGAGCATCAATAGCAGCAGCACCTCTTGCACTGCTACTACCTCTCTTCCTCTTCCTTTTGCCTCCTCCTCCTGCTACAACTTGGAGATCTGATTTAGCGTTAAGTGATTGGATGGAAGTGACGCGGCACTCCTGCCAGTTGAGCGTCTTCATGTCCGCCACGATGTCCTTCATGTTCATCAATGTGCATGACGATATTTCGTTTTTCTCTTTCACTGTGGAGCGTGACAGATTCTCCAGATCTATTTTATCCACCGCATCTATCAACACCTTCTGCTCGTGGATTTATGACAGAAAGCATAGCTTAATTTAAGCACAGAAATTAAAAATCAGATATCAATTAGTGTGTTGGATTTGAACCTGAGAGACTTTAACGATTTTCTTGAAGCCGTGCATGCGAATAATCTGCAAAAATAGAACGAACATTAACATACAAGAAATTCAAAACCAAGATCAATCAATGCAGAAAATGAGAGAGAGATTACCTGATTGAGGAAATTGGGGGAGAGACCGAATTGCTTGTGAGATAGGAAAAAATGGAGATAATCTTCGAGAGAAATCTTGCTCATTTTTCTTCTTTCTTTGCTGCTGCACTCTCTCTATCTATCGATTTTAATTTCTCAGATTTTAGTAAGCCTTCTAATCTAATTTTAGAAATTTATACTGTTTGGCAAATGGCAGGCTAGATTCCAGATGGTTCAAGGAGATTGTCCCTGGGGGTGCTGGCTCGGGAGCCAGCACGTAATGCCTGTTGGTTTAATAAAACATTTTAACTAAAATTTTAAATAAATTGTTTTAATTTAAAATTTAATATTATCATATTTTTAATTTTATTAAATACAATAAAGATAATAAAATCTAAATTATGATCACTTGATCATCAAATATTTGATATTATATTAAATCATCATCTTAAGCTATAAACTTAAATTATTAAATAAAAGTTTAAGATATATTATTTTCTATCAAAAAGGAAAATGAAGGGAAAAAATTGTCACTTAAAAGATAAAATAAAAAAAAATTAACAAAAGGAACTAAGATTTATATCAAAAAGGAAAATGAAGGGAAAAAAATTGTCAGATAAACAAAGAGAAAATAAATAAAATTATTTTTATAGCAAAACTTAAAAGATAAAATAAAAAAAATTAACAAAAGGAACTAAGATTAAAAAAAATTAAAAGAATAAAGATAAAACCAAAATAAAAAATAAATTACAAGGCAATCCAATTTTTTCATAGGATGGTAAATTGAAATGAAAAATAATTTAAACAAAAGGAAGAAAATTTTTAAAAATAAGAGTCAAATTGAAAACAATAATACACCATAAACTTAGTTTAAACAATGAAATTAAAAACCAATAATACTTTTACAAACAAAAACAAGGAAAAAACTATAAATAAATAAAATAAGGATTGAATTGAAAAAAAAATAAAACATGATAAATTAAAATTGAAGGACTAAGTCAAAAATAAATAAAATTTATATAAAAGATTCAAAAAATAATATCTAGATATCAAAAGAATAAGGACTAAAATTAAAATATAAAAAATAAAAAGGATTAAGATATATTATTAATGAGATGAGAGAGAAAAGAAAAAAAAATCGCGATGGTAAATTGTCATACCTTAAACAACACGTAAAAAACAAATATAATAATGCTTCTAACAACATGATAGAATCATGAGTTTGGCTACCCGGAGACCCCCTACACGCCACTAAAATGATGTGAGGTTTTAAATACATCAGCAGTGCAAATAATTTTTTTAAATTTAATTTTAATTATTTAGATTAAAAAAATCAAATTATTCAATAATTATGAAATTAATGAGAAAACCATACTAAAAAGATCAAAAGGCCTCTAGGTCCATTGTTTAAATTTTGGGTTCTAAGGCTAAATATGTTCTTTTTGGGTGCTTTAAAAAATAAAAAAGATATAAATATCATCACCTAATAACTTAATAAAAATTGATTTAAAAGATATTACAAGCATTCTACTATTTCAATAAATAAAATTTATTTTTATTTTTGGAAAATCTTTAATGACAAATAGATAAAAAAAACTGAAATACTCCCTTTAATATTTTGTCTAGGAAATAATAGTCATTATATTATAACAATGAATAGTAAAATTGGAGTGTATATATAGTGTAGTATATCTCAACTTGTAACATCTCAAGATTTCTATCCATTATGATTTGATGTAAAACAAAATTATTTTTTTTAATAGGTCAAATTTTATTTTGATATTTTAATTCTATCAAAATTTAAAGAGAATTTCTCCTAAAATTTTAGTTTTTTCAAGTGTTGACATCTTTCATCATTCATAATTAACACAACTCAAACATTCAATCACATCATTTAATATTATTTTCACAAGATATAATTTTCTTGAAGAAACATATTTAAAACTTTCTCATTTACTTGTCCAAACTTCAACTACAACCCAAGATGATAATGCTGTAACAATTTTAGCTTACAAGTCTAACATACAATTAAAACATTTTTATCTTTCAAAATCAATCTATTCTTTTATTGAAATGGTCCATTGTAGAAGAAAATAGAATTCCTTTCATTTCCTCACTCACAATTTATTTATTTTTCGTGTGAATTGAAATCGAACAAGAACTTAGCAATTTAAAGTCCTTCCCCGTTTGATTTTCTTTCTTGGCCAAAACCTTATGCACAAGTAAAATGATTCTTAAATTCTCATTTTAGAGATTTTACCTATTATTTGATTTTTTAATACAACACACATCATTTCTAAATATAATTTCATCAAACAAATTCATTCCCCAATTTCTTTCCCCTTAGCCCGAATCTTAGTAAGTTATGTGAAAAGGTTTTATTTTTCAATTTTTCCAAATTCAGTCATCACAGATACAATATTCATGTATGTAATTCAAACACTACATTAAACATCTAATCAATCATTCCTTCAAACCCACATTCTATAATGTATTTTCTAATAAAAATGTATTATCACATAACATGCATATAATTAAAATTTTGATTGAAACTTCTTACCTCTTAAACACGAGAATATGAAGAAAAGAAAGTGTTGAAACAAGTTTTCCTTCCCTCTTAAATCCTCCTCTCAAACCTGTCACTTTTCATGCCAAAATCCTCTAGGTTTTTTTCATTTTTCTTGGCCTAATCTCCTTCCAGTCTCTTATTACCCCTTAATTATTGTATGGAGATGTGAATTTAGGTACAATATTGAAGAAATTTGAAAAAAAAAAAAACTCTTCCTCTCCTTCTCTAAACAGTCTGCCACTCCTGCCTTCTAAAATATACTCATATTTTTTTTATCCCTTAAGAACAATAATATCTTTCATTTTTAAAATATGGTTTTTTCAATTCGTAAAGATATCTTATCTTATCAATTTGGTTAATTTTTTTATATTTTATTATTAACATGAAATTCATCAGTTTAATTTTATTTATTTTATTTTACAAATAAAAATATTAATATTTACAAACTCGAAAAATTCTAACATGAGGTTTACATATAGTGTTTTGTTGGCAACATTTTTGTTAATAAGAGTACAAATAACCGAAGATATACAAACAAATGATAGTGGAATGGGCTAGAGATTCATTGCATGTGAAGCCCATGGTTCAGTAAAAAGCACGTGAGGCCCACATTTTCCTACAACCAACGGATCTATGCCTCTCCGTGGTAGAGTTAGCTAATGGGCCTATTGACCTTGGACATCGGATCCATTCCGCTGTCTTCCCTGCACAGAAAAGGGATAACGCGGCATTCTGTAAAAAAAATAAAAAATAAAAAATAAACAAGAACCATAGAAAATGATACCATGTTGTTGCTCCCTAATTCCATCGCCGGCTTCCATATCCAAGTTCATCTCAGACCAACCTTACCTCTCCATGCTGGACAAAAATTGCACTTCAATGAAAGACCTTCAAAAAATCCATGCCCAACTCATAAAAACTGGCCTAGCGAAAGACCCCATTGCTGCTAGCCGTGTTTTGGCCTTCTGTACCTCTCCTGCAGGTGACATCAACTATGCCTACTTAGTCTTCACACAAATACGACAGCCAAACCTTTTTGTATGGAACACTATCATCAGAGGCTTCTCTCAAAGCTCAACTCCACACTATGCAATCTCTTTATTTATTGACATGATGTTCACTTCACCAACTACTCAACCTCAAAGGCTGACTTATCCTTCAGTTTTCAAGGCTTATGCTCAACTTGGTCTAGCCCACGAAGGTGCTCAGCTTCATGGCAGAGTGATAAAACTGGGACTTGAAAATGATCAGTTTATACAAAATACAATCTTGAATATGTACGTAAATTGTGGGTTTCTGGGTGAAGCTCAGAGAATTTTTGATGGAGCTACGGGATTTGATGTTGTTACGTGGAATACGATGATTATAGGACTTGCCAAATGTGGAGAGATTGATAAGTCTAGGAGCTTGTTTGATAAGATGTTGTTGAGGAATACAGTGTCATGGAATTCTATGATTAGTGGGTATGTGAGGAAAGGCAGGTTCTTTGAGGCAATGGAGCTCTTTAGCAGAATGCAAGAGGAAGGGATTAAGCCTTGTGAATTTACAATGGTGAGCTTGTTAAATGCTTGTGCTTGCTTAGGAGCACTGAGACAGGGAGAATGGATTCATGATTATATAGTGAAGAAGAATTTTGCATTGAACTCTATTGTTATTACAGCCATTATAGACATGTATTCCAAGTGTGGAAGCATAGATAAGGCTCTTCAAGTGTTCAAGAGTGCCCCCAAGAAAGGATTATCTTGCTGGAACTCCCTAATTTTAGGCCTAGCTATGAGTGGCCGTGGGGATGAAGCAGTCCGATTATTTTCAATGCTCGAGTCTTCAAATCTCAAACCGGATCATGTTAGTTTTATAGGAGTCCTGACAGCTTGTAGTCACGCTGGGATGGTCGACAGGGCAAAGGACTATTTCTTGTTAATGTCAGAAACATACAAGATTGAGCCATCGATAAAACATTATAGCTGCATGGTTGATGTTCTAGGCAGAGCAGGACTCCTTGAAGAGGCAGAAGAGCTAATCAGAAGCATGCCAGTAAACCCAGATGCCATTATATGGGGGTCTTTACTCTCCTCTTGCAGGGAGTACGGAAACATTGAGATGGCAAAACTAGCGGCGAAGCGTGTGAATGAGTTGGATCCAAATGAGAGCTCAAGTTTTGTGCTTCTGTCAAACGTTTATGCTGCTCATAATCATTTTAAAGAAGCAATTGAGCAAAGGATCTCTTTAAAAGAGAAGCAGATGGAAAAAGAACCTGGATGTAGTTTGATTGAAGTGAATGGAGAGATTCATGAATTTGTTGCCGGGGGACGCCTGCATCCAAGATCCAAAGATATCTACCATGCATTGGATGATCTGGGATTGGCGTTAAAGGAGATGGGATAGGATTAATATGAACGAATTAATTATTCTTTCTAGTGGATTATATCATGACAGAAAATAGGTTCTTCCGGTTCCCAGAAGTTCAGTATTTCTCTTGTTCAAGGTGGATGAACTCCACTGCAACTCAGGGTTGAAAGATAGAACAGATCTGGTCATCATCGAATGAGGTAGCTTCTTACAATTTTAATTATCACTCATTTGCATGTTTTCTTTAATCTAAAGGCATGCCATTTTCAAAGTCGCATCTAAAGAAGTTTCCTCTCTCAATATATATATATATATATATATATATATATAAGTAACTCTAGACTGATGGAAAAATAAGAGTTCATGCCAAGCAGAACAGAGAAGTGCTTTTACAAGGAAGCCTGAACACATTAGTGAAATGACACAACATCGAAGAATATTAGGATTTGCTAATATGAGGGGCTAGAAGACTTGCTGCTAATTAGGATTTTGACGTGGTTCGCCCTGGTGCCCAAGAGTAAATCTCGGGGGTCACGGCACCATTGGTGAGCAATTTCTGCGGCATTCCGTACAAATTCGGGATATCGAGGTGGTGACGAGGACCGTTTTCGTAATGCTGATTCTGCACAGCAGCAGTGATTCCATCCTCATCCAACGGCAAACGATCAAAAGACGCGTTCATGAAAGATGCAGCCATGATCACAACAGGCCCTGAAGCAATGAGGGCACCCACCACACCTCCACCCACAACCTGCCCTTGAGCCCCTGCCAGGTAGATGGTCAGTCCCGTGATCCCCTGTGGAGCAGGTGGGGGCAGGACAGATCCAAGTAGTGAGAGTATCTCAAACCGCCCATGAAGGGTCACGATGGCCCCCGACGAGGCTGGTTGTCTTAGGGTCACATTGGTTACACAACCGCTCCCACTAAGCACTGATATTCCACGCTGCTTCCTTCTTGCAAAGTTTGCTAAACTCTCACACACATCACATCCGGAGCTCACCTCCATTGCATGGGCTCGGAGTGCGTTAGCACTATCTCGAGTAACAATAATAGGAGGTTTTGGCTTATTTTTGGAGCCAGCTGGTCTTCCACGAGGACGCCTGATAGTTTCACCCCCGCGTGCCGAAGAAATAGGCGGCACTGCCTTCGGCAACTTTGAAGCCATAAGGATGGCCTCCATGTTCGGTCTGTGTTCATGACCCTTCTCCGATTCTTGGTTTCGTTCCATAATTCTTTCAGTATTCATAAACAAAAGAATACACAACTGTGCTCGGTGTCTGGGTTTAAGTAGCCGATTTTGCGCGAATAAATTTATTGCATGAAGCCAAAAGAATGATCAGAATTAGGACAAGGTTAAGTGGCACCAACCTTGTAATTAAGTAGTTTATACTTTATATGCGTTCTTCACCCTGCCTACCTCCCAACTGGCATTGCCTTCACGACATTTGCCCGGGCAAATGTCCGTTTCTCACATAAACATCAAGCTGACGTGAAATCATTCAGGAAGTCATAGATTAACCATAAGATACCCACCCGAAGATTTCCATGTCAGTTTCAAGGGAACCATTAGTAAGAAACCCCATTAAAAAAACGGTGCCAGCATGTTTGGTAAAAGGCTAAATAATTTCTCTTGACTTTCGTATTGAGGGGATTCGCATTAGCAAGCCACATCTCAAAAGTCAGACATATGCCCCAGTAAATTAGGTAAAATACGATATGGCGGCATTGGACAAAGCTAGTTGAAGCATGTACACATTGGACGGATCCGGGCCCTCAAAATCAACTAACTTTTTACTGCAAAACAAACCTAATTTGCCACTTTTTCACTCGCTGAAAAGAAGAGCTACAGAAACCCATCAGCAGCTGTTCAGACAAAGTGGGGTAATTAATTATATGATAACCTATAACCATTAGTAGCTCTGCTGCCAGCGTTGTTATCGCTTGGGTACTGGCCCTCTAGAACCACTAAAACTAAGATCACTAAGGCTTTGGTGTGGTTCTGATGGAATTCCGGCTTGAGATGATAAGCATTTGAATGAAATAGAGCACCATAATCCTGTGAGAGCTGCTGACCTTGTTTATAATTATTTGTGTGCGATAAGGACCTATAATCAATCCTGTGACAGCTGCTGCTGCTGCTGACCTTTTGGATGTCCAGAAAACAGTTGACTCTGTCCTGGCAAACTGAAATATCCGTTGTCTGGGAGAGTGAACATCATTCTTGAAGAGCCATCATTCTGGTTTATTTAATAGAAATAAATACAAAAGCAAAGGACAATCAATTAAAAGAATTCTCCTTCTAGCACTGAAGATAGACAGGAGAGTTTCCATAAGTCAGATGACCAAGCGCAAATAATGTTTATACAAAAACAGAGGGCACCCTAGCGTCCTTACCTGATGAATGGTGAAATCATTTCTCTTGATGCTGAGAAAGCAAAATATCATGGCCACCTGCAGAACCAGTGGGGGCAGCAGCTTGCAAAATGGTTCCAGGAAAGTTGGCAGTGCTCCCAAAACCTCCATAACCAGAAATGTTCACATCAGACAAGGGCAAATTTCTCCTGGAAGCATCTGTTTTGTATTGTGGGTGGCTGTAGCCCATGCTTGACAAGGAATGATGGAACACGATGTTATCTTGATATGCTTGACGAAAAGCAGATGTATAACGAGCATGGTTCTGAGCCATAGCAGGATAGCCAGTCAAATTGGTCAGGTTTTCCAAGGAAACAGCAGGTTGAGACGACAAATTTGCCGAAAGATGCTGGGAAAGTGCAGGTTGTGGGGCAAGAGTGACACCAGGCAGTGTTGGTGAACATCACATGGATAGAGAAAAAACACCCCGACTCAGAACCTGGGCATTCACAAGGACAAATGAAGAAAAATTAGCTTTGTTGCATTTGACTTCTGAGGTTCTTAGCACTGCAATGGGAAGCATCTATAGTTTGCATGTAACAATAATTGGCTAGATGCCAAACAGCCAATACAAGAAGAAAAATAATAAAGCGCACCATAAAGCAAAGTTTTTTTTTTAAAAAAAATGAAATGTAGTCTTAAAATAAATTTACATCACATTGGGATAGTACAGTTGTATCAAAATCAATTGAAATAATTATACTTAAAATTGAAATTCAACCCTCTATATGCACTCAAATTTTCTATTTGGACATCAGGCATACAAAGTTGATATAGTTATAGAAGTCTGGAATTCAGAGGTCCATGATTCTCCATAAATCTATTCAAAGATCCATCACAGAGAAATTTTGTGTTCCTTAGCTCTCCCTTTTCTTTAAAGAAGTAACAAACTTAAAATGCTCATAAAATATGCAGGAACAAATACAGTCACCAAATTCAAAACTCAGAAGGTATTTCTTACACACCTCTGACTGGGAGATGGCTGGATTGCTAGCTGATGATACTGTACTACCAAAACTTGACCTTGATAGGGTTCCAATGAAAGAGGACTTGGCATACTCAGAGTATCTTGAAGATTGAATAGTTAATGCCAACAAAATCCATCGGTGTCCTTGTTGAACTTGCTTGCTGCAACAGGATGTCCACCTTTAGGGTCTAACACTCCATGTTTCCTAAAATACAGCAATTCAAGGTTCAGTAAAAGTAAATTAACAGCCAGCATCTAGAATAGCAAAAGATGAAGATGGATAATGATGTCTCCATAAACCACATTGTCTAACAGCTGATGATAGAAAAATTTGAACTGCAAGAAAAAAATTACAACCACAGGGGCATCACTATTCTTTAACCATTTGAAATCAAAGAGTACTATGAAATAGAAGTAAACCATAAAAAAAAAAACAACAATAAATCTCCACATATAATATACAGGCATCATAAATTTCATCTTCATTGTTAGCATGAGGTGCAAGATTGGTTCCAAGAGCAAGCAATGAAACTGTGAATAGAAAAGGAAAAATCCTAAGCCAAAAAGATAGGGGCAATGAACAAATTAGTTGGGTGCCCATCTCAAGACAAAGAAAAGAGACGGGATTTATGAGGAAAGAAATGACAACCACCCTATCTTTCTTTTGGGCAGTTTAGCAAGTGTATTCACTAAACAGTATGAGAGCTTCTCCATTAAATCCCACGTGTAAATAATAAAGATATGTCTAGATAGCATTCATGCATCAATAATTCCCACTCATTAATTGAAGTTACGCAGAACAACAAAATATTGGAGGTATTACCATATGAAGAGAAGAAAGGTTCTTAGCCTTTGAATGTATCTCCTAACACCCAAGGGAAAACCCAGTTCTTGGGTGTTCTTAGAATCAGAATCAGGTATGGATGTTGGATGGGTGTATTCGTGCCCATGGGGTACTTCATGAATGCTTTCTCTCATTAACTCTGGTGGTGAAAATAAAAACTTATGAATCCCAACACCTCCAGTTAATCGATGTGTATCTGACATGGATCCAAGCTGCTAATCTTGAAGGAACTCACCAAGAAGCTCGGAATTTCTGCACAGAAAGAAAGCATGTACTATAATGAGCCATGAAAACAGACAGGTACCACATACTGGAATCAAGCTGAAAGACTCATGCCTAATCTCCTTGCATGGAGGGGATGGACCATTTGTTGCTGCAGAAGCCTTTTCCAAGTTACTCTTTGCGGAAGTCAGTGCTAGCAGTGCAGAAACTGCATTTTAAGTCCCAGATTTGCATGTACTGAAACTCAAATGTGAGAAGTCAGCATCTAAGAGTTGCATATACACAGGAAACAACACTACATGATTATCCTCAGATAATCCTCCTTCCCCGAACTTAGCAGCTGCAAGTCCGCAGCAGCTGACGATACTTCATTGTTCAAAGGTGCAGCAACATTTGGGAAAGGTAACTGGACGCCTCTACCAGTTCCTAAAAATTCACAGTGAGGGGACAAGGAAAGAAGAAAAAAAGTAAGGATTGTAATATAGACTCTATTAGGAGTATTAAATAAAAGAAAGAGAACTCTCTCATTCGATAAGCCGTTACCTAAACAGTATTATCATCTGATCATATCAAATACATTGAAATAAAAAATAAAAAAAAGTTGTGCCGTTGAAGACTAAGTTAAGATAATTGTGCAGTACCATCACTTGATCCTTGATAATCAAAATTTAAGAGAAAAGTCAGACAAGAACTCAAACCATAACTAGTCAAACTGTTTCAAAGGTCACTTGCTAATGTACTTATCCTGAACATGGTTTGTTTGAATACATCCTTCTGAATCTAATATATGAGAATAACCAAAACTACAACATCCATTTCCTAGTAGATGTATGAGCTAATTAAAACATTTCCTCAGTCACTGCCATACCAAATTCCATTTAAACATGATATTTCAGAAAACATTCACATCTTTTCAATATTTATAAATAACTGAAACAATTTCACTTCATGAAAACAAAAAAACAAAAAATTGTCAAAAAAAATAATCAATCCTAATTCCCATTCTAGTTTAGCATACACATCAAATAGGATTGATTATTTTTTTGACAGCAAAACACATCAAATAAACAGGCCCAAGTTAAAACAATTGAGCATCACTATTGCTCTTGATCTAAACCGCCTCCATAACCTGAAAAAAATAAAGAAGAAGCATACATTGCATGCTACACACCAATTCAAAGCCCACACCACAGACGTCAACCCAAACCTGGAGGAGAAAGAAATAGAAAAGGATGATAAAGAGAAATGAGAGTAATAGAAAGAAAAGACATTCTTGGATAACAATGATTGGAGTTTGGGAATTTTTTTGATTTCTTGAATATCCGGGGTTTAAACTTAGGACCTTTTGGTTTGTAAATAGGGGAAAAGATGAAAGGATTGAGAAGGTTCTTGAAATTTTCTGGGTTGTGAGTGGTAGCAGAGAAGTGGGGTAAACAGAAGAAAATAATGCATTCACATGGGGTAAGCTAGGTTTACTAGGGATGCGTGCATATGGAATCATACAGGTCTAGTCGGGTTGAGGACCTGCAAACCAATTATACCTGCTATATCCAAAAGACTTCTAAATTGAATCAGGTCAGGCTAGATATAAAAAGATATAGCAGACGTTTTGGTTTCTTTTAGCACCCTGGTGCTTTTTGACAAATGTAAGTAAATCGTAACACCATTTGCTTTTTGACAGATGTAATATTGGCATTGTCAAATTCTTCTGGAACTGCATGGTGCTACAGGGAATAACTCAGCATGCGCAATGACTGTTTGGCAAAGAATTATGCACAATAATGGGGAATAGAGGAAAAAATATTGGCATCAAACTACACATATGTGAATTACCTTCCCAACGATCATTCATGCGTCTTTGAGAATCATAACTTGTATCCCTCAGTAAACCATCACCCCAACAAGAATCACCTACAGCACTATTCACATTTTCCTGTCTTCTACATGGAAAAGCAGATTCAGCACAATAAGAAACTGGATTCTTGTTAGCGGCATTACTCTCTGATACTTGGACCTCCTCCAATTGGAGGTCTTCAGTCAAATTAGTTCCATCTTCATATAAGCAACATTGAATTAGAAAACATCTCAGTGCTGGAGGCATTAGACACGTTAAAGGTATATGACCCACCAGCAGCTGTTTGCTGATCAAACACAGGCAATTCATCATGAAAGCTTGCACTAACATGAGAATCGTGCATTGTCTCAGGCACTTAAGAAGGATGTGAACATTGCAGACCTTGGTGCATTACTGGTGGAAAGGGAGAAGAATCGCATGAAGGTTTACAACAGTACTGGGATGAGCTTACTGAATTTACCACATCTTGAGGAGTATAGGATGTCTCTGACATAATTTGGGATCCCTTATTGCACAGCCGACCCATCCTAACAATGTTATCCATAGAAACATGTCCTGCAGTAACACCTGAACAAGCAGCTTGGGTTCCTGATGACATTTGTGCAGCTGAAGGAATGGTATCACCAGTTCCTGTAGCTTGCCTTCTGCCATCAACATTGCAGGAATCGCTGCAGTGGAATTTTCAAGATCAATCCAAAGAAAAAAACGAAATATTCAATAAAAAGTATTCAAATGAGGTAACAAGATTGGGTATTTGAAAAAAAAAAAAAAAAGGTCTCTCTGAAGACATTAAAGCACAGCCATTTAGCACAAGCAGCAAAATGCCCAAACTTAATGTGCTAAAATGTAAGGAAGAGATAATCATGTAAATCATGCTGATAGTAACTAAGGTGGCAGAAAGGTCCTAACCGCATCACATTACCTGTGATCAAATGCAATGTTGCAATCAAAGCATCCTCTTGGAAAAAAATTAGAAATTCCTTGCTTTTCATTGATGTGAAACTTTCAAACCTCTAAATTGGGGAGGCAATGCCATATTCTATTTGGAAAAAAATTGTCCCTTTTCAGAAGAATTAAAATACTCTCCCTTTCTCATTCTTGTAAAGATACCATAATACACTGTTTCAAACTCTAACATAGCATGTAACTAGCAAATAAGGAATATTGTTATCAAAATTAAACTTAATAAGGGCAGGCAGTCGGAACTTGGACAATTAAAGGCACAAATATGAGTTTCTTCTGATCTCATACCATTTCAAGCACGTGAGTAAAGATGTATGTGAGATGTTACAAAATAAAGCAATTTCATGCATAGCAGACATCAGATGGAAACACAAGCATGCACGCGCGCGCCCACACTTACTTCTATGGTGTTGTTCAATGTTTAAACTTGACAATAAGATTTTAAGGATCTAGTAAGAAAACATTTGCTGGCTGAAACAAGAGGAAAAATGGCATAACGCAGACTGGGAAGATAATACATCATTTTAGAACACAGAGGCTAATTATTGGACAAATTAGTTAACATTTTTATGTTACTCCAACAAAACCACTCGTGAATAATAAGAAATAAAATTGAATACAATTAAGTGCGGATATATTCTAGTTCAGTTATTGATAATCTGTTATACAACGAAGATGCATACTAGGGATCAATTGGCTTGAATTCATAACAGAACTAACCTGTTGGATGAAGGCTGCTCATTTGCAGTTTTCACATGATATATCAAAGATGATGAAGATCGAAGGCCCCGGAGGAGCACCCAGCCCATTCTCTTTCCTATATGCAGCTTTACCAAGGTCTGCCAGGAGGACACGAGTTCACATAATAAGAACATGCAATTTCAAATCCAACTCAATATCACCAATTCAGCCACCACAAGCGTCTGACATTGTTCAGGATAATAAACACACCGTTATAGCTGATTTGAGATGGTACATGTCCAACATTATATTCACCACCAACTTTAGCTCCGCAAAAAAACCATTGTTTTTCCTCCATACCTTTGATTCTTGTGTCTCCTTCATCTGTAGAAATGCAATCTACAATATTAAAAAACAAAATCTATAAAAATCAAGGCAGAACAAAACCATCAGTGCACTTATTGATCTCATGCAGCACATAGAAAGCCAGTAATAATGTAGAGAGAAATAATTCAGGCGGTAATTAACTAAACAACCAAGCAGCAGAAATACGCTAAAAAAAAAAAAAAACCTTCAGCAGCTGTGAAACACTGATTCCCAAATCCCTGACAACTAAAAATCAACCTAAAAAAGATCTTTTATGCTAATCAAGTAGAAGTTTATAAGCAGTATTTGCGAAATCATCAACAAATTCCAAACAGCTAACAAACCTTCTGTTTTGACACGCTTCACGTGCTAACGGTTAGAATCTGTCGACACAGAAAGCATACAACCCCCTCCCCCAAGAAAATTTAAGATCTTATTTTCAGTGTGGGTGGGGGAAAATATTTCACAGTGTTGGAGAGTAATTTTAAATTAAAAGATAGTTACGAGCAGGAAACGGAATGTTAAGAATATTTTAATTTAAAATTTCTCTTAATTATTTTTTTAATAAATTTTTTAAAAGGCTCTAAAATTCAATTATTCTCGGGTTTCTAAGAAAGTTGCTATCTATATCCAGTTTAATAAATTCCTTTTAAAATTTAAGTTACGAGACAGTAATGAAATGTCTAAACACCATATTTAGATTATATAATCTAAATATGGCAACATATATTTTTTAGAAAATGAATTTGATGTAACTAGTGTCTAAAAGAGTATGATAGATAATAGGACAAAGAAAGTACGTAATTTAAAATAAAAAATATATACACAAAAGGAGTACATAATTTTGATATTTGGTGAATTAAAAAAAAAGGACTGGCAAGGAGGATTCACATGTCACTAAATACATAACACTATTTACTTACTGCAATGGTACAATTACCAAAAATCAATGAATTTGTTATTGAAGTAATATGATTCTTTTAATAAAATTTATTAGTCATATTAGCTAAGAACAATTTTTTATATATATTTTAAAAACACATTATAATAATTAAATTATTTTTAAAAACTAAAACATTTCAAGGATTTATTAAAAGTTGTTGGATTTTTTATCTAATTAATTTGTTATTGGTTTTTATAAAAATTAAATTTAATAATTTTTTATTTATCAGGTTATCCTAATATTATAGCTTAACTTGTAAATTTAGTTGGGTAATTTGAGTAGGGTAAATTTTTTTTTAAACTTATAATTACTATGTTTTTCTTTTTGTTTTTTTATAAATATTTTATTTTTTAATATTTTGTTTGTTGAGAATTAGATTTTAATGTTTTTATAAATTTATTATTTTTATCCATATAACTCAGGTAATATGGGTTGATATTGTTGTTTTTTTTTTATCCTTTTTTTTTAAAGAAAAAATAATTGTATCTTTCATAACCAATTCCTGCTGCAACCGTTACTTTTCATTCGTTTGCCATCATTTTTGTTATTTGTGTAGCAAGCTAAATCCCATGATCCTTCGTTTTCTCTTTCTGCAGGTGCTAAAAATTGTGTGTGTATGTGTGAGAGAGGGAGAGATTTTGTTTTAGGGATCTAAACCTGGACACTCCACTTTCAAAGCTTAGCTTCAAGTCCTTGGCCACTAAACTATGTCTCCTTTATTTACACGGTCTAATCCGTTGTTTGGAACAGAAATCTCCAGTTTATATACACTGATTCCACATATTCCAGCCTCTTATCCATGTGAGTTAGTCACTAACCGCTTAAGTACTGATTCAGTAGTTGCTCGCCACTAAAAAAAGGTTTTCTACTTTCTGCATGCAAATCTGCTTTCAGTAACTTGTAACAGAAGGGAATTTGAGGGAGTGATCCTTGCTTGATGGAATCGGTTTATGTCTTTGTCCAGAGGCTTTAAATGGAAAAATAAGCTGAGTGGATTGCTTGGAAGTGTTTCTCAACAATAACATACATAAACGTGGCTGCGTTTTGACTGTTAGATGAAGCTTACATCAAAACCAACACTCTACCCTTGCTGTGTTGACTTGTTGTTGGAAATGTGTTATGACATCTTGGAAAACATGATTATATCTAGAATGGAAAACCAAGATTTTATTTTCCCTATCTCAAATCATGCTGATTTAACATGGATGAGCCTCTTCTCTCCAGAACAATAGCAGAAGAGTCCAGCAGGCGACCAGGAAGAGAACTCCCCTCTAGTTACCTTGATCTTGGCCAGTCCCTACGTCAACCGACATCACACCTTGTCACTAATGATGTGATTATCCCCATCATCTCAACACCAAACACTTCTTCATTTGTAAATCTCATTGCCAATTTGAACAAAAAGAAAACAAGACTCCCTTACCGATCCCATTCGGCTCCATCGTTGTTTACAGATGCCAGGGAGACTTTCGAAGATTCTTTCGACCCCAGACCTGGCTCGAAATCAACTCCTTTGATTGTTCGGCAGGCTTTTGTTGGCGTATTCTTGTATATATTGGTTGTTGTGTTGATATTCCTTGTCAGCGGCCGCTTCAGGGGAACCACAACATTCAAGCCAATAGATGCCTTGTACTTCACAGTGGTTACACTTTGCACCATTGGCTATGGTGATATCGTTCCAGATACAACTTTTACCAAGCTGTTTACTTGTGGTTTTATCTTGGTTGGTTTTGGTTTCATCGATATTTTGTTAAATGGATTGGTCACATATATTTGCGATAAGCAAGAAGCCGTTCTGTTAAGCACCATGGATGGGAGTACGCCCACCACCATGGTTCAAGCTTATATGATAGACAAAGCTAAAGGAAGAATGAGAATCAGAACGAAAGTGGTCTTGGCTTCAGCAGTGGTCGTTGTTTGCGTTGCTGTAGGAACTATTACAGTGCACTACCTGGAGAAGTTGGACTGGGTTGATAGTTTTTATCTGGCTGTCACATCTGTGACAACCGTAGGCTATGGGGATTACGCTTTCACAACCATAACGGGAAGATGTTTCGCCATTATTTGGCTATTAGTTAGCACACTGGCAGTTGCCAGGGCTTTTTTGTACCTGGCTGAGCTGAGGATTGACAAGAGGAATCGCAGGATTGCAAAATGGGTACTTCAGAAAAAGATGACACTGGGCGATTTAGTAGCTGCAGACCTCGATAATGATGGATCCATCAGGTAATGTTCATGATTTTCTATCGATATATTTCTAGTTAAAGCTACGCTGTTCAAAATCCTATTTACCATTTACAAGCTGTTGTCGTCTTCAACTTGATTTTCCCCAACTTGATTCCAATCAAATCTTAGTGCATGCATATTTGAAGAAAACCTAAATAAGCGCAGTTGGGAAAGGGAGAATGATGTGTTGTCATGATAGAAACAAATACAGGGTTTCACTTAGCTTCGCATAATTACAAGGCAAGAGAGATCTGGGAAGAGAGAAGCATGAGCATAGCTTATATCTCAGGATTGCTCAAGGGGATGTCCTTAAAGTTATTATAGCTGACAGGCAAGTCCACACTACACAGAGTTGGACCATGGCACTGCTATTATGGCAGAAAATGAACATTTCAATCATTAATTGCAATAGTTAAAGATTTTGAGAAAACAAATGCATGGTGTTGGAACCCAGTCCGTTTTCCAGTAGGTTTTTCTTTATTGCAGTTGCGGGCAACCACGATAGAAGTTAAGAGTAGCTATCAGCCTATCATTGTAAGCTAAAGGGAAAAGAGTGTGTTCGGTTCCAAATCAATGGAGCTTCAAATTCAAGAGTGATAAACAGAAACAGATGAAACAGCTTGGTGCAGTGGCCATGCTTGACCAGAAAATTTGTCCAGTTAGACTGCCGAAATAAAAATTGTGTGTGAATTCTAACATAAAATGGATAAACAATTCTCTGAATGTACAGAATACTTCCCGAAGACTTTGAACGACCAGAACAGTACTCAAAAGCACAACCTACCTGCTTCTGCAAAAAAACTTTGTAGATGATGCAACCAGTTAATTGAGCAGATCTCTCTCAGTTTTTGGTATTTGTCAATCAGATATGTTTAAGTTTCAATGCTATCATTCCAAAATAGTATAACATTGTAAAGCAATTTGCTCAAACTTTATGAGCTTGATATGTGTTGTTGGTTGCTTTGTGGTTGCAGCAAATCTGAATTTGTAATATACAAGCTTAAGGAGATGGGGAAAATAGCAGAGAAAGACATCCAGCAGATCTGCAACCAATTTGATTCATTAGATAGTACCAACTGTGGCAAAATCACTCTTGCCGATCTCATGTAAAGTGACGATAGTTAAACAGGTTTTGCTATTGGAACAGGCCATCAGATTTTGCCTCGCTGATAAGCAGGACTTGAGACTCTCCATGGTAAAGGGAAAAAAAATGATAAGAAAGGCAATGTAAAACAAGCAGGATGGTATCATGACAGAAGTTCAATTTCCTACTGGCATAAAGTTGGTCAACTGGTTACACAAACAAGAGCTATTCTTTTTGCAAGCAAAGATCTACAATTTCATTTTTTCTATGTTAATTTGTTACGAGAAAGTAAAACTGTACATGTAAGAACTGTCGAATGTTGATTGCTCTGGTTAATAGGTGAGCAGCAACTGTCTCAGAAGGGTGCATTTTCATCCCCTCAATTTAAGGGTACATTCATTTACATGACCTTTTAAACCTCCAGATTCACCAGTGCATGCTTTGCTACACTCTATAGCACATTAGTTACGAAGGAATTATTTGAGTTGCAAATTGTGGACACTATGAAAGAAAATAAAGTGCACCATCCTAATGCAATCATCAACTCACCAACAGATTTCTTCAATTTTGTCACCTAAAATATTGCTAAGCATTCACAGCGGCAAACCGTCAAGGTTACATTAATGAATGACCTTGTAAGAGTCCAGGGAGCTTCATGCAGATGCTGGTTCGCAGATTTGCCCTCAGTTTACCCTAGAAACAGTAATTCAAGCAGGAACCATTACAAACGCTAACTTAAAGAAATAAAAAACAAAAGATGCCATAAATCAAGTGCAAATCAACATTTCCTGCTGATCTCAAGTTCAAGCAGCATGTTGCTTCGCCTTAGTATTCAATGGCTAAAAGAAGAAACTTAAGGCGGAGAAGTTGGCAGCAAAATTTTGAATCACATGGAACAAAAGATGGAAACAAGAAAATCACCTGTGAGAGAGAAGGACATTAGTTCCATTTTGGGTGCAGTGCTGATGTAATGGATTCAGACATTTTGATTCTCCAATTTGCTTATTATTTTCAACAAAGGAACCAAAATAGTATTTCTCCTATCATGGCAACTTGAGGAATAATTTATCTCAAGAACTAATTATGTCCTACTTGAGGCCATTTTTTGCTAGTTAACCAAACTGAAGTAGCCCAAAGAAGTAGGCAGGGACAGAGACTAATGGGAACCGGCACCATTTATTAAAGGAGGGCATGCATTTGGCTCTCCGAAACAGTACTCGGACACAAATGAACCACCCTGAAGGTGAAGGCGGCAAGAAATTTATTTCATTCAAAATTATAACAGCAAGGTGAATAAGGCCATAAAAAAAAGAGAACGGTGCATTCAAAGCGCTCTTCATCGTTACAGTTCCAAGTCTAGTCAACTCAGATTGGCCAAAAGATTAGACACTAGAAAGCACAATAAACTTATTTATGAAACATTAACTTTCATACACCCATGCTTCAATACTCAAATCAGCATCCTTCAGGGAACATCACTACTTTTAAAGTCAATGCAGGTATCATTACTGCAAAACCTCACCTGCCAGAGGAAAAAAGACTGATACAAGGAAACGTCAACTGATCTCCACCTTCTTCTGCATTATCCCTGAGATTCTGCAAAGACAGACAGATTCAGATGTCATCTCCAACAAACGATCACCACTGTCATCAAATCTTGAAAAGGAAAAAAAAGGAGAAAATGATCATAAGACAACACCAATCATAAAATTGATTAATAAACCTACTTCTGCCGAATAGCACGGACACTCTCAAGAAGCTCTATCGTTTGCTGCACATTAAAATTATTAGGCTTCTCATTATCATTCAGTACCAAGGCTGAGACATTCAAAATGGTGACAAGCTCTGATTCAATTTTATTAAGCTTTACATCCAAATGTTCCAAGAAGTCCTCATACGATGATACATCCTTCAAACCCCTGATTATGCTCTCTTCATTAGAATCATTACAGATGTCCAGGCCGAGGAATCCCCCTTCCTCATCAACCGGCGGGTTTGTTTCTCCATTGGAGCATAATTGTAAGTCTTGACCATCACTAAATTTCAGGCCATCATCAGAGCTGAAGTCTGTAACACCCAGCTTAGGAGATACAATTCGAACCGGATTCGAATCATCTTTCGTCTCAACTTCAACATCGAAATCCACATTCCCTATTAGCTGGTTTTCTTTTACAGAAATTACCTGAAATCAAATATATTTCACCAAATAAAAGATTAGGTTCTCCAAAAATGAAATTAAGAAAACAATAAATTAGTACCTGATTAAGCTTAGAGGAGAGCTGATCAAGCAACTCAATTCGGTTTTTTGACTTTCCAATAGCCTGCATAACTTTCTTCTTTTGAAAAAGCAATTCTCTTGCATCATTTTCTTTTCCAGAAATAACACTAACAGCAGCCTGTCGTTTTAGTTTCTCTGCTGCCTCTGATAATCTCATAAGTCTCAATCTTGCACTATTTGCTATATTTAACCGCCACCCAAAAATAAAACAATTAATCTTTCAAATTATGAATAAAATTGAGAATTGATAAGAAAGAACGGATGGAACCTTTGGCTCTGGTGCTTTCGGCTTCAGCATGAAGCTGATCGAGTTCGGTGCGAAGCTGGTCTGTGTTGGAGGACAAGCACATAGGCCTCTTCAATACAGGCCTGCAAAGCACTACCATAGCACCACCACCGTGACCGTGACATATCATCTCTCCTCCCTCTCTGAAACGCAGCGAGCTTAACGGTTATCAAATTATCAATCTAGTGATCGATTTGGGCATGCTTTCAATTACTAATTTCCAGGCCTGATTCCAGGGCCCATGTAAGCCCGATGGGCTGATCTAAGACTCCATATTAAGTCATATTGGATTTGGGCCTTTGTGAATGATAGGAACAGCAAGGCCTAATCTTGAAGTAAATGGGCCTTCGATTGTTATCGGAAATACTCGATAATTTTCCGCTAGAGTTTAAGGTTTGTCCACCAAAGAGCCGATTCTCTTCCAGCCATCAATTTCCTCCAATCACTCAAACGCCGCTAACAAGCTCAAAAGGCTGCAATCATGAAGAGAGAAGAGTACGTGGGCTCTGTTGTTATCTTATCTTGACCACGGTTCTTCATGTCCCCACCCCTCCAAGTTCAAGCTTGTAAAGGGGGCATAGAGGCTCTCTTAAATGCCAGTCTCTTTCCTTGATTTCTGCCCTTCTTCGATTTGGTAAAATCAAGCCATCCAATGTTGGGTCCACATGAGATGACATTCGGAGAAGACTCGAGCCCATTGTTTGCTCTCCAAAAATACCTACCATCATATATATATATATATATATACACAGAGAATAATTTGGAAAACGGAATCCTTTGAAATGGATTTTTTATGTACCAATTGACAAGCCAATAATACTTTTTTTTGCCTTTATTCACTTTAAAAGATATTTATTTTTTATGAATGATTGTTAGTGTTTCATGCAGGTTTTCTATATTGCAATGTCTCTTCTAATCGTGTGTGTGGGTGTGTGTGTGTGTGTGTGTTGTGTGTACAAATCATCGTGACAAGCTCCATATCAACGACGCCCACTACGGGCTAAAAAAGGTGATCTTGACCATCTCCTAATTTCGTACTCGGGGAATCATTTACTAGGGAGGCAAACAAGCCCTGCATTGGCTAAAGGAGAACAACGCGGATTGACATGTCAGTAATGAAAAGGAAAAACCCTTTTGATTTCTTAAATATATTATGCAGAGAAACATTTTTCTGACAAAGGAGCCATTAAGAATTGTAGTCGTTGAGAATGCAAACATCAATCAATCACTGTTTATACGTGAATTATCATCAATGGAAGAAGCGGAGAGTTGATTCGACATAAGAAGAAAAACAAATCCAGTTACTCAACCTAAACTATAAGAAATCAAGAACTGAGGGAAATAATTCCATTTATCCTTTTGTTTTATAGGTCGCTTCAAGCTTGTTCATGTGTTTTTTACTATATGCAATATATTTTATGAGATTATTCTATCTCCATGCTATTATTTCATCAAATCTTCATCGCACTCATGGCCAAATTCTGATTTATATGTTCAAAATACCACCTCGTTAAGAAAACAAAAATAATAAAATTTCATATTTTTTTCCAACACTTTCCATGCATCGCATCGCATGCACAAATAATTTATCAAAACTCAGAACCTCGTTATAATCTTAAATCTTCTTCTCCCACTCTCTATCTTTTAATGAAAAGTCTTTTGAATACATTAAATATGAACTTGATCATATACAAGCACTCACGCTATGTATTTTTATAAAGTATTATGACGAAAATTTAATGCAATGATAAATCATATATATAACAATTTCTTAAGGATAAATCAAATGCAATTAAACATATGAAAGTAGTTTTGACACAACTTTTAAACTATAAAAACATGTGCATCTTCTTAATTACAGAATTTTATATTTAAGTAGCGTACTGAGTGTGTTTTTTTTCCTATCATATTACCTAAATATCACGAATAAATAAATAAATAAATTGGTTGATATGTACTATTGCTAGGTGCCCTTTTTTAAGAAACGTCGAGCTATGATTAAGAATTTCTACTTTAAATTGGCATGAAAATTGTTTTAGATAAGAGTTTCTTGATTACAAGTGGTTAGGATTCAACTAAATTAAGGCCCAGAGATTAGACAAGACTACCTAAAATTAACTAATATTGTTCAAATAGTTTGCTTTTACTATGTTTGACTCTGTCTTGGTTCCTGGCATCCATTTCCCGTTCAAACGCAATGTGACTTGCTTAAAGATCGAGAAAACTGAATTGAATTAATATCGATATTGGTAACTAGAAGATTACAGCTTACACAATAACCAAGTCAATCTCTCTATCTCTTCAGTCTCCCCACCCCCACCCCCTCACTGCAAGAGGAACTACACACACACATATATATATATATATAAACTATAGACTAAAGTAATAATTACATCCCATTCCGTATCTTCAACTGGTTTAATAATTTGATGCGGTGGAGCCAAACAACCACACTTTTGAAACCGCAAAAGGAACGCTCTTATGTGAGTTTTTGACCTTTCTAATGCTGGAGTCTGAGCATAAAACGCTTGAACCAGTCAATCTACACATAATATATTGCCACACTGATGATTCACGTCAAGATTTCAAGTTATCTACACAAACGTCGTTATCTGTCCCCTTCATCCTCTCCCCAAAGAATAATATCTTCGGTGGTGGAGTAGACTAAGTAGACGATTGAATGATTCAGAAGGCATGTGTTTAATGTTAATTAATGGAGATCTATCTAAGAGAAGCAACTTTGGTGTGGAATAGATTCTTTCATGGTCTAAACACTTCTGTGGTTGGGAGCTGGATAGTCAAGAACGATTCAAGCCCTCGACAGCACCACCATATATATATAAATCCATCCGATGCTCATGTTTGAATAATTGCTTTGGTTGGTGCTATATAATTGAATTAACTTGCAATATTAATATTATTCAACAATTATAATAATATGGAAAAGTCTGACATGCATTCATAAAGCAACAAAAATATTTTATGTATAGATTAATTAATACAGAATATATATATATATAGAGAGTGACAAAAGTCAAGTTTCTGACTTGGGCAACCACCATTTTTCTAGCATCTTCGAATAACTTCAAGTTTTGTTTTCATGCTCGTTCATCTAAGTCGTTCATCGCTTAACAAGCTCATGCTACATCGGGTTTATTTAATGGAAATGAAGGGTACTTCCAGCACAAACTCATATATACGAGCATTTGTTTTATTCCAAGGATCAACATTTTAAACTGAGAGAATGTGTGCTGAGTATATTTTCAAAACAATCAATGACTACAGCATGGGTGTTCTTAGTTTCGAAGAAATATATCATCAATTTTAAAATATATACTATTTCATCATCAATGTTAATTTCAATTTTTTTATTAAATTACTAAAACTTTTAATCCATATCATCAATCCTAATCGGTTGAAACGCTGTTTTCCAAAAAAAAAGTACCCTCGTTGTGATTTCAGCTGCACCACCAAACCACGCAAAACCGGAGCGTTTTTTAGGACTTTGTGCACTTAACCATACAAGTGAGTGTAAAAGGTGCCACAAGGGACTCCATAGGTGCTAGATAAATGGGAGAGCAATGTTCAGACGGCAAGTAATATTCTCATAATTAATTAGGCAAGTCTAAAACCTAATCTTGTCCGATATTCCTCAATTTTTGACCGGAGAAAATTGAACCTAACGGCTGAAATATTGGAAGTAAAATCGCCACTAATCAGAGCCAACTTGGTTTCATATCCCGAGGACTGAATCTGGTATTGCAAGCCACGTTATTTTTTCCCCGACATAAAAAGAATTCTACAAGTCAAAATTCACACAATCAAAGAGTTAACGTTAAATAATTAAGTTAGTGGGATGGGGGAATTATATTTATGGCCACAGGGTTTATTCTAATATTATTTTGATATGAGACATTCTTTAGGATTAAACTCTAATTAAAAAATAAATAAACTAATGACTCCCTCGTAAATACCATTAGAGGCTTATGGTTTCCAGCCTTGTTAATTTGCTAGCCCCTCTGCACGTTTTATAGTTTAGTGTGCCTTGTATAAACAGAAATTTATATTGAGTGATTTGCTGGTTATAATCTCGATATCATAGCTGGATAAGTGGAGAAACTCTAGCCAATATTGTCCTTCTAGCGTTAACCATTGGCCTTACATTGATGATGCTTGCTTTGGTTATAATTATCTCCATATATATTATAGACCACTACTTCGCATATATTGATGCTTGCTTTGTTGTATATATACACTGCAAGAATACGACTTTTCTTCTAGCGTAAATCATTAGCCTTAAGTTATCCCCAGCAATGCTGATTAGATATAATAGTGACTGAAAGGTAAAATATTTATATCCTGTTGATGTATTTTTAAGTAGCAATAAATTTTTTAATAATTTACTCCAAATCTTATGCGTATCAGCATTTTATATCACAGCTAAAAAATTTATTACATATAAATAAAAATATTGATAAAAAATTTTATTAATAGATTGTGGCGAATTTCACTGATAAAATAGTCTTTCGTTATATTTATTGGTAAATACTAATAAAAATAATCTCTCGATATATACCGATGAAATCACTAAGAGAAAAAAAAAAGTAAAATGATATGTCGTTCATACAGATAAAATTACTAAAAAAACTAACTTGTCGGTAAATTTTATTCATAATGCTGTTAATAATATTTAATTTATAACCTGACCAACAACCTTCATCTCCCCCTTCCTTTGTTTCTTTTTATTATTTCTCCTGGCTTTACAACTAACAGCACACACCACCTATTTTATTACAAATCGACTTCTCACCATAAATTCAACCACCACAACACTTAGTTTGTTAATATTTTATTTTAATTTAAATTTTATTGAGGATTCCCCACATAAAGCAAGCAAAACTATCCATCTTTTATTTAAACTCAATTTTAAAATATTATTTTTTATTACATATTTTTATAGTATATGTAGGTATTTACATGTTTTATAGCTTTTTCCTCAAAGAAATTTGTTGTATGAGAATATGATTTATACATGTTAAAGTTTGTTTGAGATTTTAAAAAATTATATTTCTTTGTAAATTAATGAAATTTATTTTGAATTTGTGATTTAGGTATTTTATAATGAAACACATAATGACTTACTTAACTAGTTTGTTTAGATTTTATCAAATTTATTGTTGAGTTAAAA